GGGGGGATGGAGAAACAATTGTAATAATCTGAACAATAAAGATTTATTAAATTAAAAAAAAGAAAGAAAGACCATATACCATGACCAAGTGGATTTATTCAGGGGATGCAAGGATGGTACAATATCCACAAATCAATATACATGATACATCACAAATAAATTGAGAGGCAAAAACCACATAATCATATCAATTAATGCAGAAAAAGCATTTGACAAAATCCAACACCCTTTCTTGTTAAAAACTCTCAGCAAAGTGGTACTAGAGCACATGTGTCAAACACAAGGCCCGCGGGCCAAATCCGTCCCGCCAGGCCTTGCAATGTGGCCCGCACCGCGCTGTCATCACTGCACTCCGCTGCGTTTCCATCACAATGACAGTTTATGACTGTTCAGTAAACCATTCGGCCCGCGATTTAGGCTGTATTTTAGATTTTGGCCCCTTCTCTGATTGAGTTCGACACCCCTATACTAGAGGGATCGTATCTCAACATAATAAAAGACTTGTATGACAAACCTACAGTCAACATCATACTCAATGGGCAAAAACTAAAACCATTTCCTCTAAGAACAGGAACAAGACGGATGCCTACTTGCACCACTCCTATTTGACATATTGTAGTACTGGACATGTTAGCTACATCGATCAGACAAGAAGAGATATAAAAGGTATCCAAATTAGAAAAGAAGAAAAATTGTCATTATTCACAGATGACTTGATGATATACATAGAAAAACTTAAGGACTACATCAAAAAACGACTAGACTTAAAAATGAATTTGGCAGTGTAGTAGGATATATTTCTTTATATCAGCAACAAACAAGTAGAAACTAAAATGAAAAAAAAAATACTGTTTTACAATATTATTTTAAAAAATGATCCAGGGATAAATATAGCAGGAAATATCCAAATCCTTATTCTGCAGCTACAAAATATTGCTGAAAAAATTAAAGACCTAAATAAATGGAGAGAATATATCATGTTCATGAATTAGAGGACTCCAGATTATAAAAATGTCATTTTATTACTTCCAGGTTGATGTATAGAATCAACTTTTAAGGCAATAACCATAATATGGTAGTAGCAAATAGATATAGGTCATTGGCACAGAATACAGATTCTAGAAACATCATATATATATATATATATATATATATATATATATATATATATACACACACACACACACACACACACACACACACCCACACACACACACCTATACCTGGTCAATCAGTTTTGGAATAGATACTCTGCAACAAATACAACTGGCACATATGTATATCCAAATGCCAAAAAAGAACAACTTTAATCCTTATACCATATACAAAAATTAGCCCCAATTAATTTGCAACCCTACATGTAAGGGGTTAAAACTATAAAATGTATTACAAAATATCTGTGACTTTGATTAGGTACAGTTTTCTTTGTTTTTGTTTTTAGATAGGATGCCAAAAGCACAAACCATAAAAGAAAAATTGAAATATTGAACTTTATAAAAAGTCTACACTGCTCTCTGAAAGACATTCTTAAGAAAATGAAATGATAAGCTAAAGACTGGAAGAAAATATTTACAAAACACTCACCTTATAAAGGACTTGTATCCAGAATATTTAGAGGACTCTTAAAATTTAATCTTAAGCCAAACAACCCAATAAAAAGGAGGGAAAGATTCTAACAGACACTTCATCAGGTTCGTGTACTGGTGGGGTCCTTCGGTCTGGCCTGCAGGCTGAAACCGGCCCTCTGACATTTTTCCAAGGGGCCCTGAATTGCAGGAGGGCAGTTCTCGGGTGATGATGCATCCTGGAATCAGGCTCATGCCTCTCTGGTTCCAGGTGCATCACCCAAGAACCGCAGCTGCCAAGTCACCACAACTTGGCAGCTCCTGCCTTGAGCTTCTGCCCCATGATTGTCAGTGCAAGTCATAGCTATTGGTTGGAGTGCCTGCCCCCTGGTGGTCATTGCATGTCATAGCTACTGGTCAAATAGTTGGACATATATATTTATATTGTATATGTAAAATCTCCATCGTAGTATTTGGTTCACTGTTGAATGCCATGTTGTTATGTGGAGCATGACTTTATTTATGACTTTTAAATAAATGTTGGTGTTATCTTACTGATATTTTTTATTAAATTTGTGTATTTGAACAGCAAGATATGCTACATCTTTGAATATGTGAGATTAGAATGTTATAGAGGGAAAAGCACTGAAGCTTTACCTTGTAGTCTTTGCCATTAAATCACTACTTGTTCTTGGGTTAATCAAACTACTTGTTTTTGGGTTAATCATATCCCAAATGGTTTTTAAACAGCTTCTGAGATGGGTTCTTTCTAACCCTGAAACATCTAATATACCTTCTCTGATACAAAATCTTAAACTGATTTTTTTCTCAAAAGAATAGTTTTTACAGTTGAAACAAGTATTTGTAGGGACTGTTGGCTTATAATGCTTAAAATGAGGAAATGCATAGAGGCAGTAAAATATTTCTGACATGACAAAAATGTTAATGGAATTAAGAGGGAGGAAATTTGTTTTTGAGAATTATACTTGAGAAAAATCCCCATGATAATTTTTTGTACATTTGTTTCTTATAAGTGGCAGGTTTGATTTCCTTATTGTGTCTGAGATAGGCTGCCTCATTTTCTTTTGGGGGCAGTTTTAACCTTTTAGTGTCACCTTATGTTTTTTAAGTTTAAAAAATGGTAATAGGTGGCATTGATATGAAATGTATTCTTAGTTAAAAAAAAAAAAAAAGTTAATGTGGAATTTGAGGCCCAGAGAGTGTCTATAATTTGGCTTGAAGTAGGCATCATGTAGTGATGGTACTGACATGATGCTTTCATCCTAGTCATCATAACGTTGTAACAGTGTGATGTGTTCTGCTTGGAAGGTATTAGTACACCTCCAGTATAGAATCCTTTACAATCCCCCATGTTCAGTTTTCTACAAATCATAAAGATTTATTACTATAAGCTTAAGTCACAGATTTCTTCAATATGATTTTAAAAGAAGATAATAAATTCTATACAATGTATTTATTAAAGTATTCATTAAATCTGAAGGAAAATAAAAACTACATAAAATTATTTTTCTGTCACTTAAATGGCAGATAAAGTATTTGTAAATTTGTTTTCAATTTATTGGAGTGTAGTAGACTAAACAGAATGACCTTTTGCTACTTATTCCTCCATTGGGCAGGCCAAAATCTGTTTAGAGTAATTGCTGAGTAAGAATTGAGGTAGGCTTTTTTTCTTTCCTCCTTTTTTTTTTTTTTTTTTTTTTTTTTTAGCTTTCTCTTCTCTAAAAACTGGAAAGTTCTTGAGAAAAGTTGCTGTTAAAAACAAAAAAGTAAAGACATTTATTATACTCAGTAACATTTGAAATATCCATGTTAATTTATAAAATAAATTGTTATATGTAATAATTTAGGATTCATGGGAATATAAAACTGCGTGAATGTAAAAATATTGTAATTTCCAATGTAAAGGTAAGCAAAATACAGTTAATATGCCTAGTAATGTTCTAATAATGCTTTAATGAGCTACATCTTTGTCGGTTAGTTTTTCTGAATGTTCAAACCAGGGAAAACATTGAGTTTTTTGTTTGTAATAACTCTGTATGAGAAATTAAAATTTATAAGAATTTCTCTTTCTGCCCTTGAAGGATCAGAGGACAAATTTGGATGCAGGAGCTACAGAGAGATGTGCAGATTCCTCCTCTTTGTTTGGGGTTTGGAGATGCCCAGATAAGGCCCAGTTGTGAAGCAATGCAAGCTGCTGTGGAGCCTTGGGCCTTCTTTTGGCAGCTCTGGGGTTCTCTGACCTAGCTGCAGTTTGTTAGGTTTAGATTGCAAAAGGCTAGGCCATTCATATGCAAAAGTCTCTGCCCACACCTTGGGTGGGGTTGTAAATTGGGTGGGGCAGGGTCTCAGGGAATTGCCAGGGTGGAGCAAACTGCAATGGCTGCTCATCAATCAGAAACCCGGGTCTCTATGTCCCGCAGCACCATGCAGGAACAATGATTGCTGCTGCTACTTCTGAGAGAAATCCCCCTTCCTGTTCTGGCCAGATGCCAGACAGTCCAGTTTTTCCTCATATGACTCTGGGTCCCCGGAGTCTTGCCCCAAACTGGAGTTCAGAGCAGTCGGGAGCTTGTATCTCCCCCTACCCCCGTTGAAAAAGACAACTCAACCACTGAACGACACCAGCCAGGCTCAGCTACTTTTATTGGTGTTATTTCCTATCATCCTTGTACCCTAAGAGGTAGAGAATATAGGCATAATTATTCCCTCTTTTATAGATGCAAAAACTAAGAATAGACAAGTTATTTGATTTTTTTCAAGATGAAACTTCAACCCAAATATTCTTTCAGAAATTTGCTTTTCCTATAATGATTCAGGTTTTTATTTATTTTATTTTATTTTTAAAATATATTTCTTTATTGATTTCAGAGAGGAAGGAAGAAGGAGAGAGAGAGATAGAAACATCAATGATGAGAGAGAATCATTGGTTGGCTGCCTCCTGCACGCACCCTACTGGTGATCAAGCCTGCAATCCAGGCTTGTGCCCTTGGCTGGAATAGGGACCCTTTAGTCCGCTCTATCCATTGAACCCAGCTGGCTAGGGCAATGACTTGGGTTTTATACTCTCCCTGCTACTCCTCCCATATGCTGAACATAAATCAGTATTGTCAGTTCATTGGTTTAAAGTAGATTGTTTCTCTTCAAACCTCTAATCACTGATGTCGATATCTTTAAAAAAGATATGCAATTAATTAACTACTTAATTGGTTAATTGTGGAGTCTTTTCTCTTAACTGATATTGAAGCCTGAGTTCTTCAAAGGGCTACATGTTGTTTGATCAAGGTTTGAAGCATGGATTATTGAAATTTTTGTTATTCACTCATCAGATATGTCTAACATGAATGCTAGCCCTGGATATGACCAAGTTTTGATTACATTAATTTGTTAGTAATATTCAGTCTCTTCTTTATACAGGAGAGATTAAACAGATTCTAGAAAATGAACTCCAGATACCTGTGTCTAAAATGCTGTTAAAAGGCTGGAAGACTGGAGATGTGGAAGACAGTGTGAGTTTCTTATTTATTTATTTGTTATTTTTGAATTACAGTTTACGTTACATGTCATTCTATAATAATTTTAAGTATACAGCATTATAGTTATTATATCTTTTATTAAGTGGTCCTATGATATTTCAAGTATCTACCTGGCCCCATTCAGTGTAAGTTTCTTAAATTGCCAGTTATATAGTTGACTAAATAATGTATAAAATATGGTTTTTATTAATATTATTACATAAGAAGTAGATTTGGTAATAACTTAGTTTAAGAAATTAGCAAACAATGTTTTTCAAGCTAGTACATTTTTATAGTAAACCAACAGTTTTAACCGAGTTCAGTATATAAATGAAACACAATGTGGCATGCTTTTCTCATTTATTTTTTTTAAATTTCTTTATTGATTTTTTACAGAGAGGAAGGGAGAGGGATAGAGAGTTAGAAACATCAATGAGACAGAAACATCAATCAGCTGCCTCCTAAACACCCCCCACTGGGGATGTGCCTGCACCCAAGGCACGTGCCCCGACCCGAATCAAACCTGGGACCCTTCAGGCCGACGGCTGATGCTCTGTCCATTGAGCCAGTCCAGTTAGGCTATTTTTCTCATTTCTAACTATTTTGTAGCAGTTAGTTTGATACTTTTTTTTTTTGAGAATCTTTACCTTTTTCTCAAATCTCATAGGGTGCCAGTAAGTGATCTGAAATAATAATTTACTGAACAATTATGTATTGGCCTGAAAGAAGTCACATTGGTGTATATATGTATGCCAAGTATTGATTATAAAACAAAGATAATAGGAATTGTGAAAATTTTAAATGGTAGGAATATTTCTTTTTTGTTGTTTATTTGGATAGTGGTGGGGGAAAGGAATGAATGGTATTTAAAGATTTCTAAAAAATGTTGCAATTGCCCTACCTGGCGTGGGCCAGTTGGTTGGGCATTGTCCCATGCACTGAATGAGTGCTGGTTTGATTCCAAGTCAGGGCACATGTCCAGGTTGCTGGCTTGATTCCTGGTAGGGGGCATGCTAGAGGCAGCCGATGATCAGTGTTTCTCTCTCTTCCTCTATCTTCCCCTCTCTCTTAAAATCAGTAAAAACATATATTTTTAAAATGTATATTTTAAAATTTTAATGTAGTAGTTGCTATTCTTAAAGATCCAGTAGCAGCCTTAGGCATAAAATATTTCAAACCCTTTTCTTTTTTCTGATAGAAAGAGTGGAGAGGGATTGAAAGAAATGAGTTAACCCTGAAGTTTTAGATATTTAAAGTGGAAATAATTGTCTACTTTTCAAACAATTTACTGAGCTGATATTTCAGTATCCAGGCACAAACGTACGATCTTCAACTTTTGGTTCATTTCTTGTCAATGGCTTCTGATAGACATTGTGGTTATAAATATTTATATACGAGTTCACTTGATATATGGAGATGCTGGATATTTCAAGATATTTACAGGAATTTCATGTTGGCAATATATTTATAAATTTAGGTACCAAGTTAGTAATATATATTAGGGGTCAGCAAACTTTTTCTGTACCATCAGGTAGTAAATATTTTAGGCACGACTGTGTTCTAATAAATCTTTATAGACACAGGAATTTGAAATTTATATAACTTCACATGTCATGAAATACTCTTCTTTTGAATTTTTTTCAACCATTTAAAAATGTAAAAACCATTCTTAACTCACTGGTCATACAAAAACAAGCAGTGGGCCAGATTTGTCTCAGAGGCCATTCTTTCACTGTGGTGCTGTGTGACTATTCTAATTGAAACGTATATTAAAAAAAATAAAGTGTTGACTGAGACGTGGAAACAATTAGGCAAAAATAAAATGACAAATGCATTACTTTGCACAGCTATATCATTTATTCATTCATTTATTAATCAGTCTTGCATGGTATTTTTAGTAGTGTGTGAAGAGAAAGGCAATCATTTTGCAAATGTCCTTAAAGCTATGTGTTCTCATATTTGAACATAGTCTTTGTTATCCATAAAATTTTCATTCACTTATGTCTATGTACGCTTTTCACTAGGTGATTTCTGCTATTCCTATGATATTATTTTTCTAATTGCTCCCAAATTTTTATTTCCAGGTTATACTTCTATGAATTTCCATATCCAAATTGGTAATTCATTCTTTTACTTACATACTTTATTGACATCTTTAACTTAACTTGTTTAAAATGGTGCCCTTAATTTTCCTTCCCTGCCATTTCTTCAACTGTCTTCTCCAATAAATGGTAGCACTGTTAAATAAAAAAAAGTTTGGGCATCAGTCTTTTTCCATTTAAAACAACACCTAATCCTTTGGTATGTCCTGTAGAATCTATCTCCAAAATATATAATCTCAATCATGGGCACTTTCTAGTATTTTTATTGCACTTAATAATCCAGGCCGTTACCATCTCTTGCCAAGATCAATGTAATAGCTTCATCATTGTCTTCCCAGCTTCCTTTCTTGGATTCTTCCAGTGTACTAGTATTCTTCCCTCAGTAGCCAGCCAGAATGGTCTTTTAAAAACATAAATTGAATTATATAACTCTCCAGTTATAACATTGCTTCTTACTGCTCTTTGAATAAAATTTCAGCTACTCACCCTAGTTTGTATTGCCTTGGCCAGTGTGGCTCATCCTATGAACTGAAAGTTCACCGGTCGGGGTGCAAACAGGAGTCAATCCATCGATGTTTCTGTCTCGCACTGATATTTCTCTCTCCCTCTCCCTTACTCTCTCTCTAAAATCAATAAAAATATATTTGTTTTAAAAAGACATGTTGTTATTTACCTTCTCTTCACCACTATAACTTCATCTTTACCCTATCCTACCTTCACTTTTCATGCTATAGTGATGTAAACTTCCTTTTAATTTTTCTAACAGGTTTAAACTCTTTATATCTTTACCTGACAGATGCTATTCAGCTGCCTGGAATGCTTTACCCTTAACTCTTCACATGATGGCTCTCTTTCACACTTCAAGTCTCAGCCTAAATATTACTTTATTTAACAGAGTTTTGTATACAATGTGGCTTTCATCTCAGGATTCTTCATCACAATCTCATGAGCAGAGGGGCCATGTCTGTTTCTTTCATATTGTATATCCAGTGCCTGGTATAATAAATATCAAGCAAATGTTCATGGAATAAATGAATAAATAACTTAAAGAGAGTATCCATTTACATAGTCATACCACATATGGTTTGAGGGAGAAGATTTAGTGGAAAATTTTTGGATGATGTCATGGTAAAAGGATAATAATAACTTGGTTTAATCTAATCATTTTTCAATAACCACAAAATAAAATAGTGAAAGTTAAGGTAAAAATAACTTTCCTATGTTTATATGTTTGTTTGCATGTTAACTATTAGCAATAACAGGTCAGTTTCAAAAGGACTTATACATATTTGACATAAAGACCAGAACTTAAGGCAGTGCTTTTTTTCAATCCATGGCGGGATGTAAAATTAATTGAGTGGCTTATAACCAGACTGGGGGGGGAAAAAGAATTGAAATTGTCAGAGTGTATTGCAAATAATAAGATTATTTCTTTTTGTTTAACACATAATTATTATGAGGCAAGAGTAAATCCCAATGCCTTTGGAATAGGTCTGTGCACTTAGTAAGAAGGGCCCTCTTGTGGAGAGGTGAAGAATGAGTTCCTTATGTTCTATGCCTGGCTAAGATCAACTTTCCCCAGGTTTCTCTACTTCCATCTGCAAGGTCAAGAGGAATTCCTAGACATCAACTCTATCTTGCTTTTCAACGCGTTCAGCCTTGAGATTATTATTTGTTCTGATTCAATCAGGACCAATTTCATTATGCCTTTTCCCACTGTTTATGTCAGTTACTACTGCAAGGAGTCTTAAGATCCCATGTCACCCCTCACTCAGATCTCCAGTCTCTGCACAGCCCATGTCTCTCTATTCTTTGTTCCATTAATTGCCTAAGACCTGTGCACTATGACCTGTGGAACTAACACATGATTAGCGAAATTCCTCATTGTCGCCCTCTTTTCTAAACTTTTCCTTCTCCATCTTTCTCTGACTGAAGTCTATAGTCCTGAGGACACTGTTTCTCTGTAGCATTCTCAGTGTTTGTTGATTTCCTTTAATATAAATTATACCACTGGATTAACTGGTAAAATATATAGTAGTCCCTCCTTATTAGTGGTTTTGCTTTCTGTAATTTCAATTACCCAGAATGAGCCGTGGTCCAAAGATATTAACAGAAAATTCCAGAAATAAAAAATTCATATCTATGTATGTATAGGAAAAAACATAGTACATTTAGGGGTTAGTAGTCTCTGCAGTTTTAGACATCCTCTGGGGGTTTTGGAACCTATCCCCCATGGATAAGGGGAAACTACTAATTGTCCTCATTTTCCTCATTTCCACTTTCACACCTTTATTACTACTTCCTCTTTAAAAAGTTCCAGCTTTGGCCAAGACCGGTTGAGCATCGGCTTGGGGACTGAAGGGTCCCAGGTTCGATTCCGGTCAAGGGCATGTACCTTGGTTGTGGGCATATCCCCAGTAGGGGGTGTGCAAGAGGCAGCTGATCGATGACTCTCATTGATGTTTCTAACTCTCTACTTCTCTCCCTTCCTCTCTGTACAAAAATCAATAAAATATATTTTTTAAAAAAAGTTCCAGCTTTGAATTTCATGTCAAAAGATTATGTCACCTACTTGTTGAGACCATCTCCCTCATTTTCTGTTGAATTTTAATTTCTGGCTTATAGTTGCTCTCTATCCTAATTCTTAGTAATTTAAATATCTTTGTAAATGATTCTTCCAACACCTTGGTTTCCTAGTTCCTTGAACTTCTTTTCTATAAAGATCTTTTTATTTATCCTATATCAGCCATATGTTTCCATGGGCTTATTTAATTACAGCAATTCTCAAATCTTAATTTCAAGCTTCCATTTCCTTCTCACTCTTTCTTAATGTCCCTAGCTCACTTCCTTTAGTTTCCTAACACCAACAATCCTTCAACCCTCATTCATATT